AAAAAAGCCAAGCCAGAGCAGGAGGCCCTGTTTAAGCTCCAATACCAGAAACTCACACATATTCCCCCCTCCCCTCACACACACACACCTCAGCCTGTAAGCCTCTATGTGTGCCAGGGACTGGGCTAATTTAGAAAGTAACATGTGAGACTGTCTTGTCCTAAGATTCTTCCTGGACTCATGCTCAGTGCTCAGCCTCTCTGACTGAGCCTTGGAGGACAGGATATAGGGGAGGGAAAGTTTCCAATTAGACCTGTAAGGCTGTGTTTAATATAGAAACAAACACAAGTAAACCTTTAAAAAAAATCACTTAGTAGCACTGTCATATCATCAAAGGAGAACAATTTAACACCCCAAAAATGTAGAGCAGAATTTCAAGGTGGAAAAAAATAAAAAAGGATTGTTTTAAAACTGAATGAATTTCCGTCTATGAAAGAATCCTTTTCTCCCTAGTTCTCATTCCACCCCCAGGAACACCCCACTTTGCATCAGCGGTGCCCACTGGCCTGTGGGGGTCTCTGGACAAGGAGAAGGGTGCAGGCTTTGCGATCAACTGGTTCTTAAAACCACAGACAAGATACTTATGTCTAAACCTCAGTTTCTCATCCATGAAATGGGGGTAATTACAGAGCTTACCTCAGGGGGTGGTTACACAGATTACATTAGCTAGTTCATAGAAAGCAATTAGCACAAAGGCTCAATAAATGATCCGTATTATTTCCAGACTCTAAAATATTGCCACCTCAGGCTCTAGCATCTTTCCTCATTTCACAGACACCCTCGGCTCCTTCTCACTCAACCCCAACCTCTTCTGCCTCACCCTACCCTCACTCAAATCCCTTCCTCAGACCTTTCCTGAAAGGTCGCCAACCAGGGGAGAAAGGGTTTTGTCTTTGGAGTCTACTCCTTCTTTACTCTTCAATACACAGATAGGTTGAAGCCCATGATCAAGAAGCTGAAGAGGGCTGGGAAGATGGCTCAGTGGTGGAGCGCTTGCCTTGCATGCCTGAGGCCCTGGGTTCAATTCCTCAGCACCACATAAGAAGAAAAAGCTGGAAGTGGCGCTGTGGCTCATGTGGTAGAGTGCTAGCCTTGAGCTGAAGAGCTCAGGGACAGTGCCCAGGCCCAGAGTTCAGGCTCCACGACCGACAAAAAAAAAAAAAAGAAGCTGAAGAGCTGGGGCTCAAACACTGAATCATCATAAGGAGAGGACACGGCACAGAAATTCAGCTGCCTGTCCACACAAAATCTAGACAGAAAGTCCCTCAGCACTTACTGATCATTTTGCCAAGCCATGCACTTCCTAGCATGGGTGTAGAGTGTGGCCATCACACCCCTATGTGGTATTGTCACTAGCCTTACTTTACAGATGAGTAAACTGAGGCATACAGAGAGCACATAACCTGCTCCAGCTGGCCTGATGACTAGGGGTGAGGGGAGAGCTACTGGCTGTGTGCCTGTGATTTGGTCAGCATTTACTGCTTGCCTCTCTCCCATCAAAACAATCAATTGATTAGATATGTAAGGGCCACTTACCATATGGCACAGCACTGCGCCAGAACTATAAAGAGAAAAATGAAGACTTGGGGCCCTAAGGGCAGGAAGAGTTCCTAAAGGATCTTCCTCAGAGCTTGCAAGGGGGAGGGAGGATAGTAAGTATTTCTCCTCTGCCCCACTAGACATAAAGCCAGGTCAGCTAAGGACCCAACTATGGTAAGGAACCAGGTAGGTGGGAAGGGGCCTAGCTGCTTCTGCCATTACTACCTGGGTGCTCTGAATTCATTCCTTTGGCCTCTCCCTATGGGTCTGAGTAGAAAGCAGAAGGTAGGTAAAGTCCAATCAAGGTGTGGGGGGAGGAAAGGGGAACCCAGTATTTCTGCCAGCTTCCCGAACCCTGCCCTGCCCCCTAACTTGGTGCCCTGCTCTGGGCAGAAGTGGGACATCTGGAGCCTGTGTGCTTGTGTGAGTGTGCAAATGGGGAGGGGAGCCTTTCCCAACTCCTCATCCAGATCCTCTGTTCTCTGCCAGGATGTAACTGTGCTTGGAGAGCTAAATGCTAGGAATTTAGGAGGCCCTTGGGTCTCTTCCGTGTACCCCTTACTCCCTTAAAAGCAGTGGCAGGAGTGCCAAGGGGAGCAGGGGGGGGGAGGCAGAGGGACAGATTTTTCTCCTACCCCCACAGCTACCCCCTTCTAAGAGGCAGCTCCCACCCAGCCCGCCTGTCATCCCACATTGCTCTGATTAGCTATAATCTTTCTTTTTCAATTTCTCCTCCCCGAGACTAGGGAGCGAGAAAATCTCCCAGAAAATGAATAAATATTTCAATTTTCGGCGCAATCAGTCTGAGGAGCCGGCGCATGATGGAAACGGGGGGAAGGATAATGGTTTTCATTTAGATAAGATACAGAAAATTATTTAGTGAAAAATGAAGATTGATGAAGCCCATTGAAATTCTTTAAAACACGATTTTTATTTCTCAGCCTAGGCTGAATCTCCTCTTCCCAGCTCCTCTCTGTGTCCCTCAATTCTCATCTGACCGCCTTCCCCTACCCCGTTCCCCCCACCACCACCATCTCCCAACCCCCTGCCAACCTCTGGCATGCCCTCTTCCAGCCCTAGTCCTGGCCTACACCTCCTGCCTGGGGTGCAAGCTGAGGAAGGCTAGGCCTGAAGGCCTGCCAAGCCCCCAACTCTCTGCACTATCAAAGTCTCCCCAAAGCCTCACTCCTTCCCTCCAGCCTTCTTCCTGGCCTCCCATAGGCACCCCAGGCCTCTTGAGAGACTTCCCTCCTTCCTAACTCCTTCTCCCCCTTTCCTTTCTTTGGTATCTTCTCCTTCCATCCCAAAATACTTCTACACACTTTCATGAGGGCCTGCCTTCGCCTATGACAGAGGCAAGTGAAGGGGAGCTTGATACTCCCGGAGCCCCTTTCCCCTTCCCCCTTTCCAGGGGCAGAAAGGCACCCGGCACACACTTCGCCCTGGCTGTTCCTGTCCCCGATTCAATCCACATGTCTGTCTCTCCCCTGTTTGCTAACTGAAGCTTTTGTTCCTTAAAGCTCGCTGGTGTCCATGTTGCTGACATGTGAGGACTGCAGGAGAGAGGGCAGACAGACATAAGCTGCCCCCCCACCATACTAACCCTGACCCAGCTGCCCTTCCCCCCCAGGCCCTCCCCCTCCTCCCTTTCCAGAGCCTAGCTGAACTAAGTCAGAACTTAAGTCATCTTCCCAACTTTCTGCCAAGTGGCTGGCCGGTCTTGCCAACGCTAGGGCCAGGCCTTACCCACCCCACAACCCCCCCCCCAATACTCCCTCCCACTCTCACATCACACCAGGGGTGGAAGCCCTTAAGGGTGTGCTGGGCTGGCATGGGGGCGCCTTGAGGAAAGATGAATCAAGACCCGCCCCCACCAACTCAGCAGGGTTTTTGCCTTCAGAGCTGGGGAGAGGCCTGACCAGGAGAGGTGGCTTCCAGTGAAACACCCCACCTCCAAACACCCATCCACAATCCAAGGAAGGGATCTGAGACCCAGGTAAAACGCCTGAGGCTCTTCTAATCAAGCTGACTGATCCTCTTCCTCTATCTCCCCTCTACCCCATCCTCCCCCCCCCTAAAAAAAAGACCACCTCCTCCATTTTGTACATATCTTCTAGGGTGTCTGCCTATGTGAATGTTCAAGTTTCTTTGTTTGCTCGAGGGTCGTGTCTGTGAAACCTTTTCTGTGTAAGTGGGTTGTCGTGTCCTTGTGGATGCTTGCCTGCACGCATGTCCTCTGTGTGTGTGAGAGAGAGAGGGAGAGGGAGAGAGGGGGAGAGAGGGAGAGAGGGGGAGAGAGGGAGAGGGAGAGTTGGTGCAGGGGGTGTGGATGCAGTGAGGAATCTGTCTTCCTGAGAGGTGTCAGCGTCTCCGTGGCTGTCTGTCTCGTGTGGGGGATGTTTGTGGCTGTGTCTATGTCTCAGTGGGTGAGTAGGCTGTCTCAGTGTCTGTGACTGTTTTATGGTGTTTGTGTGTCTATTACGTGTGTCAGCTCCATTTTTTTTTGTGTATGTGTGTGGGGAGAAGGCTCAACAGGATTAAATCTTCCTTGGAAGTCAGAACCCGCAGGCAAGAATTCATTCCCACACCCCAGCTATGACTGGAGTCTGGCCCCTGGGTTGCCTCGGCCTCCCTCCCCCCACCCTCGCCACTACCCCCCAGCACCCCCCCCTCCCCGGGCTCCACCGGGCTCCTCATCTCTCTCCACTGCCTCCCTCACTTCGCGGCATTTCCCTGGCCAGATCCAAACGAGTCTCAGATTCAACACTTCCCTGTTCCCAAGTGGGGTGCGCCCTCCCCAAGTGCCCCCTCCCATATCAACCTAACCAGAAACAGTGTTTAGAACGCCATCTCCTTCACCCAAAGGCTCCCGGGCAGGGGTACTGGGCGCATCCCAGCTTCCTCTGGAGGGGGCAGGCCCAGGCAGTTTGGAGCTGAGCTGGGAACTAAAGGGGGGGGGGGGGCTCCCAGGAGCGGAGTTGAGAATCCCTTAAGGGCATCTTCTAGAGCCTAGGTCCCCGGCTTTCCGCGCACTCCCCCCCCCCCAAATTTGAAATCCCAGCTTTCCCTTTAGCCAGGACTCAGGCGTCGCCCGCACACACACACACACACCCCCCGCCCGGGCCTCAGAGAGGGGGGCGGGCGGGGACTCCCCAAGGTCTCCGGCAAAGGACTTGGAGCGTTCGGGACCGCATCTCACTCGAACCCCCGCCTTCGCGGCCCCAATTCTGTGCTCTCCCGCGCAGCCAGAGGAAACAACTTGGGCAAATCAACGGAAAACTCCTGGTCGCCAGCTGGGTGACTCCGCTCCCGGACTGAGCCCCACGCCTGGAGGCGAGCGGAGCCCGGCGCGCCCGGCTCGGCTGCGGGGGGCCATCCGGCCGCCCGCCCGCCCGCTCCCCGCCCTCCCCTCCACCTCCGCCCGCGCCCCGCGGCGGAGGCGCGCACCCCGGGCCCCCTACCTTGGGAGAAAGTGTCGGAGAGAGTGAGGATCCAGACGAGGAGGCTCAGCATGCTGTCCGCCCGCCGTGCCGCGGCCGGGGCCCAGAGTTGGCGTGGAGGCGCGAGCCGCGCGCGGGCCGGGAGGAGGGAGCCGCGCCGCCCCCCGCCGCGCCGCCCCGCACACGCGCGCGCGCGCCCCGCAAACTCACTTCCCGGCCGCCCGGCCGCCCTGCGCGCCCCCTCCGACCCCAGCGCCCTCCTCCCGCTCGCTCCCGAGCGCGGGGCCGCTCTCCCTTTCTCTCCCCTTCTCTTCCTTCCCCGGTTCCCTCCCTCGCTCGCTCTCTTTTTCCCTCCCTCCCTCCTGACGTCTACTCTCCCTCCGACGGCGCCTCCCTCCACCAGCCCTCCCTCCCCTCCCCTCCCCCTGGCCCCAGCGCGCGCGCGCCCTCCCCTCGCCGGAACGGAGATGCTGGGAGGGAGAGAGCGGAGAGAAAGGAATTGAGGGCGAAGAACGCGGCGCTCGCGGGCTCCGGGGCACCGACGGCCGGGCCCCGGCCCACCCGCGCGCCCCTCCCGCTCAGAGACACAGTCTGGGCCCCCGGGCCGCGCAACTGAGACGTGCACGGGGTTGGGGAGGGGGGGTGGAGGACGACCCTCGAGCTGCGAGCCTCTTTAAAAAAAATCACCCCCAGAATCTAACCCTGGATCGCCCCCCCCCCCCCCGGTTAAGAATTCTCAGCTGCTGAGTGGATGCTGGAAGGGGTACAGGGAAGAGTAAACACCCCCTGCAGATCCCAGACAGGATCTTCTTGGGCCTCCAGGGAGCCCCCTGGACCAGCCACGGTGGGGCCAGGCTAAGTGCTGGGCTAAGTGAGAGGCGCAATGGACGCTTCCTTTGTTCCAGTCGGAGTCTAGCCATCCAGAGGAAGAGCCAGCCAACTCGACGGCTAGGGGGCGGGAAGGGGGGTTCCTCTCCTTAGGATCTCTAAGCACTGTAGGAGGAGTTTGAGATCTTTGGGGTTTGAAAGATGGAGGGACTGGGAGGGAAGGGATTCCTGGAGAGAGTAGTGAGGGCGTTGTGGAAAGGCTCCGCTCTCTCTCTCAAAGTGCCCAGTGTGGTCACCAGCTCCTCTCCCCGCTCCTCACCAAGTCCTCCTGTTAACTGGGCTGCTGCGGGCGCCCGGGGGTCTAGGCCCTGGGAATGAATCTGGGAGAAGTAACAGAGGAGTCACAGGAATTGCACAACTTTACAGTAATACTGGCCTAGAGAGAGCTCCACCTCTTTTTCTCCCAGATCCTTCGTCTCCCAGGTCCTTCACACTCCCCGCCAAGACTCCCCCCGCCCCCCATTTCCGTCCCAGAGCTGAAGCGCGGTGGCTCTCTGGTGCCCTCTGCTGATGTGCAGCGGACCCATCATTTCTTTCCTCCAAGTATTTGGACACCAGGAGAGGTGAGCCAAGATACATGTTGTAGACAGCCCTAGGACACAGAAACACGGGCAGAAAGATACACAAACTCGTCGCCAGAAGCACAGTGTGCATGGACACGGAGAATCCTCCAGGTCCTCAAAAACACACATAACAAACACGCGACTTTAACATAGAGCTCAGAGATAATAGAATGCAACCCCTCTCGGATACACCAACACACAGACTCAGGGCTTCTCATGTGTTCATTCATTAATCATGCACTCCCAGATCCTTCTTCAGTGCCTGCTGAATTCCAGCCGCAATCCAAGGCATTGGGGTAAAACAATAAACAGTGCTCCGTTCTGGAGAGAAAGAGAGAGTGGCCATACAAGAGTACAAAATACACAAGGTTATGTAAAATGCTGTGGGAGACAAATTAAACAATAAATGGGAAAGGAGAGAGGAACTGCCTTAAAAAATGTTTATTGTTATTATAAAGGCAATGTATAGCACTGGTGGCTCACACCCGTACTAGCTACTCAGAAGGCTGAGATCTAAGCATCACAGTTGGAAGTCAGCCCAGTCAGGAAAGTCCATAAAGACTCGTACCTCCAGTTAACCACCATAAAACCAGAAGTGGCTCTAAGATGATAGAGCACCAGCCTGGAACAAAGGAACTTAGGAACAGCAACCAGGCCCTGAGTTCAAACCCCACAACCAACCAAAAAAAAAAAAACAACCAAAAAAAAAAAAAAAGGTGATGTATAGAGGGGTTACAGTTATATAAGTCAGGTAAAGTGTATATTTCTTTTTGAGTAATGTCATCCCTTCCCTCACCCTCCTATCCCCACCCACAAATCGTATAGGAATTGCTTTTTTTTTTTTTTTGGGGGGGGGGGTCCGGTCATGGGGCCTGAACGCTGGGCCTGGGCACTGTCCCTCAGCTCTTCAGCTCAAGGCTAGCGCTCTACCACTTGAGCCACAGCGCCACTTCCGGCTTTTTTTCTTTTTGTTATATGGTGCTGAGGAATCGAACCCAGGGCCTCTGGCATGCAAGGCATGCGCTCTACCACTGAGCCACCTTCCCAGCCCCCTAGGTATTGCTTTTCTTTTTTTTTTTTTTTTTTTTTTTGGGTCCGGTCGTGGGGCCTGAACTCTGGGCCTGGGCGCTGTCCCTCAGCTCTTCAGCTCAAGGCTAGCACTCTACCACTTGAGCCACAGTGCCACTTCCGGGTTTTTTCTTTTTGCTTATGTGGTGCTGAGGAATCGAACCCAGGGCCTCAGGCATGCAAGGCAAGCTCTCTACCACTGAGCCACCTTCCCAGCCTGGTATTGCTTTTCTTATAGCCAAGGAAAGCTGCTCTACTCAAGTAATATTTGACCACAGACCTAAAAGAAAGAAAATGTTCAGCTTCTCATCCATTTTAAGAGTTTGTGTCAGTTCAGTGGTAGCAGCCAATGTAAAAGTCCTGAGGTAGCCAGGCACCAGTGGCTCATTCCTATAATTCTAGCAACTCAGGAGGCTGAGATCTGAGGATCACAGTTCAGAGCCAGCCTGGGCAGGAAAGTCCATGAGACTCTTATCTCAGAAAACCGGAAGTGGCGCTGTAGCTCAAGTGGTAAAGCGCTCTCCCTGAGGTGGAGAGCTCAGGGACAGTGCCCAGGCCCAGAGTTCAGCCCCACAACCAACCAGACCAAAAAAAAAAAAAAAGAGTCCTGAGGTAGGAGTGTTCTGGAAGTATCAGTAAGATGAGCTTTCTTCCCTTGTCATTCCGAAAGAAGGTACATGCAGTGGAAAGACAGAATGACAGTGATGCAGTTACTGAGGAAAAGAGCACATTCTTAGCTTAGTGATTCGTGCCTATCTTCCAGGCTCTGGTATTTAGGCTTAACACCTATTTCTCAGTGTGAAGGGCTGGGCTTTTTGGCTTAGGCTGGGCACTGGTGGCTCATGTCCATAATCCCAGCTCCTGAAAGGGCTGAGAATCTAAAGATCATGGTTCAAAGCCAGCCTAGGCAGGAAAGTCTCTAATTAACCAGTAAAAAGACAGAAGTGGCAAGGCGCCTGTGGCTCACACCTGTAATCCTAGCTACTCAGGAGGCTGAAATCTGAGGATCATGGTTCAAAACCAGCCCAGTCAGGAAAGATTGTGAGACTCTTTTTTTTTTTTTTTTGGGTCCGGTCATGGGGCCTGAACTCTGGGCCTGGGCACTATCCCTCAGCTCTTCAGCTCAAGGCTAGCACTCTACCACTTGAGCCACAGCGCCACTTCCAGCTTTTTTCTCTTTGCTTATGTGGTGCTGAGGAACTAAACCCAGGGCCTCAGGCATGCAAGGCAAGTGCTTTAACCACTGAGCCACCTTCTCAGCCCCAGATCGTGAGACTCTTATCTCCAATTAACCACCAGAAAACCGGAAGTGGCACTGTAGCTCAAGTGGTAGAGCGCTAGCCTTGAGCTGAAGAGCTCAGGGACAGCACCCAGGCCCAGAATTCAAGCCCCACAACCGCAAAAAAAAAAAAAAAAAAAAAAAAAAGCCAGAAGTAGAAGTAGAGATGTGGCTCAAATGGTAGGGTTCCAGCCGTGACTTCAAAAGCTAAAGGACAGATCTCAACCCCTGAGTTCAAGCTCTAGTACTGATTCTCTCTCTCTCTCTCTCTCTCCCCTTCCCCTCTCTCTCACACACACACACATACACACCAAACACTTTTGGCATTCCTTGGCTTGTCTCATATCAACACACCTTTGCAACAGAGGAACCAAATATGTCTATTTCCTTAACAGCCAAGGAAGCAGCAATCTTCTGTCTTTCCTCTGGTACCTTACCTTTCCTCCTTCTTCTTTTTTTAAAAAATATTTTTAATTGTTATTATAAAGGTGGCATACAAAGGGGTTACAGTTACATAAGTCAGGTAAAGAGTACATTTCTTTTTGGATAATGTCACCCTTCCCTCACTCCCCATTTTTCTCCTACTATACTCATCTACAAGTTGTATTGCTCATTTTCAGCATAGTGTATAGTGAGTACCACTTTGTTCACACTTTGTCCCTCCTTTTTTTTTTTTTTTTTGTTGGTTGTGGGGCTTGAACTCTGGGCCTGGGCACTGTCCCTCAGCACTTCAGCTCAAGGCTAGTACTCTACCACTTTAGCTACAGCACCACTTCCAGTTTTCTGGTGGCTAATTGGAGATAAGAATCTCACAGAATTTCCTACCTAGGCTGGCTTTGAACCACTATCCTCAGATCTCAGCCTCTTGAGTAGCTAGGATTACAGACGTGAGCCACCAGAGCCCAGCTTTGTCCCTCCATTTCTATGTCCCCCTCCCTCACCCTCCCAAAAAGATAAACAAAGAAGACAAAAAGAAAACAAAAACAGCAGCAAAGAAAAAAAAAAACCCTCTTGTTCTCCTTCTTTTAATCCCAAATCCCCCACTAACTCAGTACATAGCAAACTCACCTTCTCCCAGATTCTAGAGCCCCCCCCCCAGGCCCATCCCCCACCTGACCAAGAGGTACTCAACACCAGCGATGCATATTAGAGACTTCAGACAGGCTTTAAAAAAAATAGGATTTATCCTGAAAAGATGAATTGTTATGGAGTAGTTATAAACATGCCCCAGGGAGTTCCAGCGCGTAGGGAGGGTGGGGGAGTAGACTGCTGTCTAGGTGTTGTCTG